GAGAGAGAGAGAGAGAGAGAGAAGAGAGAGAGAGAGAGAAGAGAGAGAGAGAGAGAGAGAGAGAGAGAGAGAGAGAGAGAGAGAGAGAGAGAGAGAGAGAGAAATTGGTTGATTTAGAAGAGAGTAGAGAGAGAAGAGAGTAGAGAGAGAGAAGAGAGTAGTGTGAATTGGTTTGAGAGAAGAGAGTAGAGAGAGAAGAGAGAGAAGAGAGAAGAACAGCAAGAGAGTCAAGACATCGAGGCGGTTACGAATGACAAACTTGATTTGAATCAGGGTTGTCATTGTCATGATAAATTCATCTCTGACGGGCAATTAAAATTACAATCCGGATTTTAATTTCAGAGGTGGCTGACACTTGGACCGGTTGCTGCTCTTTTGGGCGGGTGCGTGTCGTCGCCGCGTTCTGAATGTGAGGGGGGAGAGGAGAGGAGAAGGGGGGAGGGGCTGTTGGATTGGCACGCGTATCATGTCCAACGACGGCAAGGCGTTGTACGATGCGTGCGATTCCAGTGATTCGCAAAAGGCGTTGGATCTGTTGAACAGCTGGTCCGCCGATCGCGTCCGCGATGCCGTTCGCTACAAGGAGGAGAAGGTTGGTTTTGTGTGGGCTTGGCTGCTCTTGATGGTATTGTGGGGCTCACAAACAGTGCGTGGGCAGTTTGACTGCACACCGCTTCACAAGGCCTGTAGCAATGGTCATGCTGATGTTGTTCGTGTGCTGCTGAAGTACGACGACGTTGATGTGAATGCCAAGAACAAGGTAGGTGGTGATGGTGCAACACTGTGACGCGACGCCCGTCGTATACCTCACAGCACCGCTATGCTTGGCAGATTGGCGACGCCTCGCTGCACAACGCCTGTGCCCTTGGTGACCATGCTGATGTTGTACGCGTGCTATTGGACCACGGCGACGTCGATGTGAATGAGCGAGGCGCGGTAAGAGATGGTGCAGCCTCCTCATCGGATGGTGGTGCCCTTTGTGCACCTCACAGTACTGCATGGCAGCAAGACAACACACCGTTGCACTATGCCTGTAGAAGTAACCATGTGGGTGTGGCGCGTGTGCTGCTGGACCACGACAACATCAATGTAAATGCCCAAAACATGGTAGGTGCATGGCGCAGCTGGTCCCCATTGGGTAAAGGTGGCAGTCCTCGGAATGGCCCGAACACCTCACAGCTGCACATGCCAGTTTGGCTGGACACCACTGCATTGGGCTTGTGACGAGGATCACATTGATGTTGCGCGTCTGGTGCTGGGCCACAACAACATCGATGTGCGTGTCAAGGACTATGTATGTAGGTGATGGTACTGCCGTCCAAGTCTCAGATGGGCTGCCTTCTCAAAAATGGGTGTATCGCTATTGTATCCATGTTAGAATGGTTACACAGCCCGCAGCATGGCTGAGGATTCTATTGCCGAGGCGTGGCCAGCGATTATGGAACACATCTGGCGTGCTCGACTTGCCGTTCTTGTCAGCAAAGGCTATCGTGTGGAGCCCGCTCTCTTCTCATGCCTGTGGTCCGATCTAGCAATGGTCGAAGACACCTTGCAAGACGATTAACAATACGACCATACTTTGAGAGACCGCGTCGTGATGCTGGGCTTGCAGCAGCGTTGATCGATCAACAAAGCATTTCGATCCACCGGCTGCGTGCTGCAATACCCAGACACGTTATTTGCTACCTTTGAGCATTTGTTACCAAAAATAAAATTTTCAAATTTAATGAGAGGAGGTTGCACCTAAAAGGGGTGATTCGTTGGATGGCGGCCATCGTTGGTTGTGGTCGAAATCCAGCTCACCTGGGATGATTTGAACCGCGCAGAGCTGTTGAATCTATGAAGCTGCCCCACATCGAGGGTTATAGTATCGTTTTGTTTATCCTTTTGGGCGTGCCTGCTCTGGAAATTGTGAAACCTTGATAAACGAAGCTTCTCGTCTATCGGGACTGCAGTGCAGAGCGGCCTGGGTGTCCAGCTTTGCAAAGATGCTTGAATAGGTAGGGCGAGAAAAATCGGTAGAAAAGTGGGTTTCCGTGCAGTGGTGGCGGTTGTAATAAATAATAAGCTTCAGACGTGGAAGTATGAGGCTCTAGTGCAATCAGTGAGTCGATGTAAGCCTGGTACTTTTTGGTACTCTCGTCGCAAGCCACATATTAGCGGAACCCAAGAAGATGAGCACCCCCAAGCTGGCTAAATCATCGTTAATAGTGTAAAAAATTGTATTCCACCTTTGAATTTCTTCTGAAGGTTGATCAACTGGCCACCACGGCGCTGCCGTTTATCTTTTTTGCCAGATGGCTCCGGCCTCCGACAGATGGAAAATTGCATGGGAAATGGTAACAAATGTCCAACGGTAACAAATGCACTTGGTGACTGGAGAACTCTTATGGAGGTGGAGGAGGGTCAGAGGAGATCAATTAAAAAAACCGGGTAAGACAGTAAGACGGTATGGATCGGGGGGTTATAGAGATGGGACAATCAAAGCAGGGGCAGGTGGTCATTGGCAGCGCACATTTGTCACTCGCCTCCCTGGCCTCTCTGTTTCTGAGTCTCGCTTAGCGGTAGCATTCTGAATGAACAAGATGGACGGCAAGGGTGACGGACAAACTCTTGGGGAATGAGCATTTTGAGCGTGCTCGACAGGTCTAAAGCAACAATGTCACCAATTGGGGCATTTATCTCATGCGCGAAACGCCTTGATAAAGAGGACCGTGGCGACGCTGCCCATGGCTGCACCTAGAACGGCGGCTCCAGTCGTGTCAATGGAGGAGTTGGTGCGTTGGAGTGGGCGGGGCGGGACTGGTGAGGCTCGGGGGGAGCCGGCAGCCGAAGCCATCGGTGAAACAGTCATGGCCAAGGGGGACCGGCGTTGGTCGGCGGGGAGGGTGGTGCCAATGTGATGTGCTATCTCGAGAATGGTGTCTTGACTGGGCTCGCGTGAGGCACGACGGCGTCGCAGGGGTGATTGCACGGGCGAGGGCGAGTTGCTGGTCATGTCCTCATCCATGTTTAGGTGATCAGGAGACCCAAGGCGTGTCAGCTCGGGATCGTAGCCATCGATGAGTTCCTCAGCTTCTGCATCGTCAGGTTGTAGCTCCGGGGTGGTATTTA